CGTGGTGGAGGGAACAGCAAGGTGGAGAGGGAACAGCAAGCTGGAGAGGGAACAGCACGGTGGAGGGAATAGCACAGTGGAGGGAAAAGCATGGTGGAGGGAACAGCAGGTGGAGGAACAGCATGGTGGAGGGAACAGCACAGTGGAGGGAAAAGCATGGTGGAGGGAACAGCAAGCTGGAGAAGGAACAGTGCGGTGGAGGGAACAGCAAGGTGGAGAGGGAACAGCATGGTGGAGGGAACAGCACGGTGGAGGGAACAGCAAGCTGGAGAGGGAACAGCACGGTGGAGGGAACAGCACGGTGGAGGGAAAAGCATGGTGGAGGGAACAGCAAGCTGGAGAAGGAACAGTGCGGTGGAGGGAACAGAAAGCTGGAGAGGGAACAGCACAGTGGAGGGAACAGCACAGTGGAGGGAACAGCATGGTGGAGGGCTTGAGGCAGGAAATGCTGGTACTGGTCACCCAGAAACTGGGGCTGCCACTGACAGAAGGGACACAGTGTAAACTACATGAGTGGGCCAGGTGCTGTGGCTCATGCCTGAAACTCACTGTAACTCACAGGGCTCACTCCCAGCACTTTGGGAGGCCAAGGCAGGAAGATGACCTGAGCCCAGGAGTTCGAGACTAGCCTGGGCAACATGGCAAAACCCCATCTCTACAAAACATAAGAAAATTAGCCAGGTGTGATGGCACGCATCTGTGGTCCCAGTTACTTGGGAGACAGAGGTGGGAGGACCGTTTGAGCCTGAGAGGTTGGGGCTGCAGTGAGCCGTGATCACGCCACTGTACTTCAACTTAGGTGACAGAGGGCGACTCTGTCTTTAAAAAAAAAACGAAAAACAAAAAACCAGAAAACAAAAAAACTACATGAGTAAACTAAAAACCAAATAAATGGGTAAGGCATGGTGGCTCACTTCTATTAATATAGAAGTTTTCTTGTAGTTTTGGAGGTCAGAAGTCTGAAAAGGTGTCAGCAGGGCTGGGTCCCTTCTAGAAGCTCTGGCGGAGAATCTGTTTTCTTGCCTTTTTTGGCTTCTAGAAGCTGCCTGAATTCCTTGGCTCATGGCCTCCTCCTCCTCCTCCTAAACCTGCAGCATAGAAAGCTTCACGTCTTTCTCCAACACTTCTTTTTTTTTTTTTTTGGAGATGGAGTCTCGCTCTGTCGCCCAGGCTTGGAGTGCAGTGGCGCGATCTCGGTTCACTGCAAGCTCCACCTCCCGGGTTTACGCCATTCTCCTGCCTCAGCCTCCCGAGTAGCTGGGACTACAGGTGCCCGCCACCACGCCTGGTTAATTTTTTGTATTTTTAGTAGAGACGGGGTTTCACTGTGTTAGCCAGGATGGTCTCGATCTCCTGACCTCGTGATCCGCCCACCTCGCCTCCCAAAGTGCTGGGATTACAGGCGTTGAGCCACTGCGCCTGGCCTCTCTGACACTTTAGAAGGTCAAGGTGGGAGTGCTTGAGCCCAGGATCAGCTTGGGCAACACAGTGAGACTTCATCACTATAAAAAAAATAAACAAAATCAGCTGGGCACAGTAACTTACTCCTGTAGGCCCAGCAACTTGTGAGGCTGAGGTAGGAGGATCGCTGAGCCTGGGAGGTCAAGGCTGCAGTGAGCTGTGATCACACTACTGCACTCCAGCCTGGACAACAGAGCAAGATGTTACCTGAAAAACAAACAAACCCCACAAAATAACAGGAGGCTATTACCATAGACAAGGCAGGATGATGATGGAAGGAGCATTTGGAGAAGAGCTGCTTTCTAGAAATAATTACGGGCATGGTGGCTCACATCTGTAATTCCAGCACTTTGGGAGGCTGAGGTGGGTGGATCACAGGAGGTCAGGAGTTCAAAACCAGCCTGGCCCACATGGTGAAAACCCCGTCTGTACTAAAAACACAAAAATTAGCTGGGCATCGTGGCGGGTGCCTGTAATCGCAGCACTTTGGGAGGCCGAGGCAGGAGAATCGCTTGAACCTAGGAGACAGAGGTTGCAGTGAACCGAGATTGCGCCATTGCATTCTAGCCTGGGCGACAAGAGTGAAACTCTGTCTCAAAAAAAAGGAAAAAGAAAGAAAGAAAAAAGAATTTGGAGAAAGAACCAACGAGGTTGGCAGGTGGATTGGATGTAGGGCATGAGTGAAAACACGACGGAAGTGAGGATGCCTCCTGGGCTTCGCCTTTAGGACTTAGTGGTTACTGGTGCCATTTCCTGTGGCGGGGAAGATGAGAAGAAGCAGACTTGACAGGAAAGACCACAAGTTCTGTTTGTTTCCTATTGACGCTGTAACAAGTTACCACAGATGTAGTGGCTTACAACAACACAAGTTTATTATCTCTTTTTTTTTTTGCACTCTTTTACACAGGCTGGAGTGCAGTGGTGTGATCTCGGCTCACTGCAACTTCCACCTCCCAGGTTCAAGTGATTCTCCTGCCTCAGCCTCCCGAGTAGCTGGGATTACAAACATGCACCACCACACCCAGCTAATTTTTGTATTTTTAGTAGAGACGGGGTTTCACCATGTTAGCCAGGCTGGTCTTGAACCCCTGACCTCAGGTGATCCGCCTGCCTCAGCCTCCCAAAGTGCTGGGATGACAGGTGTGAGCCACTGAGCCCAGATGCAAGTTTATTATCTTCTAGTTTTGGAGGTCAGAAATCTGAAAAGGTGTCAGCAGGGCTGGGTCCCTTCTAGAAGCTCTGGGGGAGAATCTGTTTTCTTGCCTTTTTTGGCTTCTAGAAGCTGCCTGCATTCCTTGGCTCACGGCCTCCTCCTCCTCCTTAAGCCTGCAGCACAGCAAGCTTCACGTCTTTCTCTGACTCTGATTCTCCTGCCTCCTTCATAGAAGGACCTTTGTGATTACACTGGGGCTTTATAACCCACCCGGGACAGCCCTGGGGGCTTCTGGGATGGGAGAGGCCTCCTTGGGAGGCTCCCAGCCTTCCCTACAGTCTCGCTGCTTCTCCTCTCTGCCTCAACAGACCCCTGAGTCCCTGCAGCCTGCGCACGCCACCCTGCAGCCATGTTTCTCGGGCCTCCCTCATAGAAGGACCCTTGTGATTTCACTGAGCCCATGCAGATAATCCAGGATAACCCCACATCTCATGACCGTTTATTTATATCTACAAAGTCCTTTTGGCCATAAAAGTCAACATATTCACAGGTTCTGGGGACTAGGACGTGGCCGTCTTTGGGGGGGCCATTATTCTGCCTCCAATAGCAGATGGAGAGGTGGGAATTTCAGCCTTTATAGGTGTATTGAAGCCACGGGCTTGGAAGGGATCACTAGGGAGAGTGTGCCAGCAAGGACGACAGTGACCCAGTCCCCGGATCCTGGTGGCAGATAGAGGCCAGACCCCAAAGGCACTAGCGAAGACTTGAGGAATGAGGAGAGAGTCCACAGAAAAATCTAGAAGAAAGTGTTTCAAAGAGATGATTACACCAGGCGCGGTGGCTCACACCTGTAATCCCAGCACTTTGGGAGGCCGAGACGGGTGGATCACAAGGTCAGGAGATCGAGACCATCCTGGCTAACACGGTGAAACCCCGTCTCTACTAAAAATACAAAAAATTAGCCAGGC